AATGTAGTTGACTAATTTAAATATCTACAGGCAGTGAAGCACGGGAGAGAAGAGTTTTGTCCAGAATTAGACCACACCAGATTCTTTAACAAGAGGAGAGCTTTATTAGTGGTCTAGCTTAACACCAATGTGTTATCCAAGAGGCTAGACCCCTAAGCCTTGCAGTCATTCACATTATATACTATTCGCTTACAAGTTTAATCACGTCACTAGCCTCAAACAATGAAAAGTTGTTCTTCATATAGTAACACTTTATCAGAAGAAAACATCTTGAGTATGTATGTATTGTCTTCTTGAGGTTACATTACCTATGTCAGCTTAAATCACATACACAAATAGTAGATAACAACATATGCTTTGCAAAGGAAGCTATAAAATATTTATGCTCGCATCCGTGAAGACACAGACACTAGTAGGGGAAAGATAACATTGTTAGCTAAATAGATCACGCTTTAAAGAGGAAATAGCCTCCAGAGGAAGCTCCAAATTACAAGTCTGTAGCTTAAAAACAGGAAACAGATTGGGTCAGAGTGGGGTCAGAGTTTTCAGCTGCAGGCTATTCAAAGTCTGAATACTTTTAAAAATCTTGTGTGATATCAGACAGGGCTTATTTAGATTAAAGTATTATTTTTAATATTCTGCTTCAGCAGCTCAGCAAATAGTTTCTTCTTCTTTCAGTGTCTGCTGGGCTCATGCCAGGGAGGGCAGGGTGTGTTCTGTTCGAACAGGTCAGTCACTCCAGGCACTCAAGCCATGGTCACTTGAGCAGGGGAGGCCGATGTTATGTGACATCCACTGCCTTAACCAAAGGCCTGGCAGAACATCTCCAATTTCCAGGCCCTGCAGAATTGCAATAAATCCCACAAGGCCCTGATCTCAATCGGGAGCATGTTCCACCAAGCTCAGGCCAGGGCTGAGAAGGCCCTGGCCCTGGTTGAGACAAGGCGGACATCTTTCGGGCTGGGGACTGCTAGACAGTGTTGGACTGAAGGGTCTAGATAAGCCCCTTGCAAGTTCAGTTTCAAGAACTATTACTTTGGCAGCTATAGCTAAAAAAGGCCAAGATCCTAGGGTAACACAAGACTGAAGCCCCAAAACCCAAACAACACCATGGGAGTATACATAAGGTTTATTAAAAGAAATGTGCAAAAGTATACAAATGCACTATTTTTGTATACAAAAGTATATATAGTGCAAAGCAAGGAATAAAATAATAAAAACTAAATAACTACCCTAGAATACTTATTCAGGCTTCATGTCTCTGACCCAGATGTTACCAGAATAGAACTTCAAAATCCATAATCCCATAAACAGGTATTCCAGCCACACGAGGCCCAACCTACAGTCAAAAGGATGGCAAAAAGACAGGAAGGCTGGAGGTTCCAAGGTTCAAACTAGAATGATGTTGCTTTATGCCAGATTGCCTGCAGCGGACTTAATCCCATTCAGCCAGGTGTGTTGCTAAGACATATGACCATGTACTTCTGCAGTTAGTGCATACTCACAATCAAGCAACCTCACCCCCGCCAGGGTCCTTTGAGCTAATGAGACAAAAAGTGAGTGCAAAACTCCTTTTGGGTCTCATCCTTGAAGCTCACAGGCCATGATCTCATTTGCACCTTTCTCTGACTCCATCTTGTCCCTTATCTCTCTTGGACACTGCAAGTCATCGTGATGTGAGTTTCCCTGAGAGGACCTTCAGTAACTCGTCTAGGCCCCAAACCCTGACTCAAAGTTTGAAAAGCCAAGAAACTGCTAGACGAGGCCAGTTTCTTGACACATGGTCCCTGTGCTGTTCCTTCCCACTGCTCCAACAATGTTCCTAGTTCTTGCCACAGAGCTTCCCTTTGTCTCTCCCAAAGTCCCTCTCCAGATCCCCTGGTACTCTAGCTCCTGCCAACTGCCCTTTGGTCCAGGCCCCAGGTATAACTCTGCCTTTCAGATCCCTAAGCTGCTTCCTTGCATTATCTTTCCTCTTCTTTCCCTCTCTCATTCTGCCTTCCTTCTCATGTTCTTCGAAACCATGTATACGTCCATGCAACTCTCTCATGAACCAATCATGAATGAGACAAAACTGGGCATCTTAATTATCAAAGAGTTTAGTCATTGTTGGATTAGGTATCTGAAGTATTTTATTTTGACTGGCCAAATGTTTTGATTGCCAACTATCTTTAAAACTTCCTTTCTGTCTTGCCTTCAACCTATTTATTTGAAGTTAATAAAAGTTAACTCTTTTAAAACAACGGTCTTATTATTTTATGGGAAAATACCACACCAGTTTGCAATCTGTGAATACAAAGACTCAGGTTCCACGAGGTCCAGAGTTGCAGATGTTTGTGTGAATTACCACACACATGTATTTTCTCTGGTTCCAGGGTAACACAGGCCCCTGCCACACGGGGGGAGAAGGCACAGCCGAAGTGCGGCTTTTTAGAGCCGCACCAAAAGAGACACGCGGCGGCGGGATCACATAGATCCCCTGAGCCGCTGCGGAGTTGCTCCCCGGCACGATCAGATGCCGGGGGGAAGCCACTTAAGGGAGAGCGAGGCAGCCGAACTGCGCATGTGCGCGCATGCGCAGTTCGGCCGGGAGCCTGGATTGCTCCTGAAGAAGGGCGCTCCGGCGATCCGACGGCCGCGCTTGCTGCGGCGTTGCAGGTAAGTCCTGCTCTTTGGCAGGTTCTTTTTTCATCCGCATTTCCGGCCTGAAAGGACGGATCGGGGACGGGTGCACGCCGATTCCAAGATGTTGCGGTGTGCTCGCACCCATTTGCTGTGCCCCCGATCCGTCCCTCTTCCGGGCCAAAACCTCCCGTGTGACCGAGGCCACAGTTAACTTATTTTCCAACTTTGGCACATTTGATCCAAAACCCAGATTTTGGAGGGTATGGATTCACACATACTGAAGTTCGCCCTGTTCATATAAAACAGCAGCTGAGTATACCTTGACGATTACACATAGCACACTCTCCCAGTATGACAGCTAGGAACACCAGAATCATAATGACTGAAAAGGGCTTGTGTCTTGAACACAGAAGTGAAACACCATGGTTTAGAATACTGTAGCTTTTATTGGCATCACAGCAACATTTATGGGGAAACTCTTAGTGTTATTTCAAGAGAACAAAGTCCAGTGGCACCTTTAAGACCAACAAAGTTTTATTCAAGGTGTGAGCTTTCATGTGCACGCACACTTCGTCAGATGGGGCTCTAACTTTGTTCTATTGACCAACATGGCCGCCCACTTTGTGTTACTTCAAGAATTAGTCTTTGAGGAGAAACTTCAATTTGCCCACACACCAGTGTTCCCTCTAAGCTGAGTTAGCATGAGCTAGCTCACAGTTTTTTAGCCTCCGGCTCACACATTTTTGTCCTAGCTCAGGAAGGATGGAGCTCCAGAGCAAGCTAATTTATGCAGCAGCCAAATCGCTCGCTCACAACTTTAATGCCAGCAGCTCACAAAGTAGAATTTTTTGCTCACAAGACTCCACAGCTTAGAGGGAACATTTGCCACACACCATATTTCTTCTCAACCCAATTTACCTCCTTTAGGTCCTGCACAATAGCAGTTAGTCGTTCGTTCTCTGCGTGAACATTGGTAACAACAGCTCTACTTTGTTTCAGCTCATTCTGCATTTCCAAGATCTTCCCCAGATAATAGGCTTCCTTTGATGCCGACTCCTGGAGGAGTGTCTCCTCCCGCGTCTCACCATCTTCAGCGACTTTGCGGTGAACTGAGAAGGACTGCCCAAATGCCTGCAAGAGTAAAATAAGGACTTATGAAACGACGACAATAAAAAAACCCTACTATGCTTAGGTATATGTTGAAACATTTGGAAGATAAAGAAACTGCTGATGAACAATGGTTAGGAATGAGGCAAAACTCAAATATTTTATCACTTCTCAGCCAGTGTGCCCCAAGCCACCAGCAGGTCTCTGGCATATAAGCCTACATTATCCTTTGTCATCTTTTCATAAATAAGAATGTTATGTCCAAATAAATCCACCTTTTTGCTGTTGTTATTTATATTATTCCCAGAAAATGTGCAATATTATATGTAATATTGACCAAAACATGGGAAAATACATCTGGGGAACTTAATTACATAACCTTTCTGCTACCTTGGTGACTTTAAACGTATGGTTTATTTAGAACCTTGTGAATTCAACGTTGCAGGACTCTAAACATATTCAGTAAAATGTCAGTTTAGCTGCCTTACCCAAGGGTTGCAAAATCTAAACATCCATAGTCAGCAAGCTGCTAGATAGCATTTTGCAAGCTGCTAGATAGCATTTTTTAAAAAACCCACAATTTAAAATAAGAAAACAGTTAACCTCCGTGTGTCAAGAGAGATGGTCCCCTCTGCATCAATCAACCTGACAGTTTAAGCATCAGCATTTGGCCCTGTCGTAAATTTAAAGCCATAGCCTGTTTCCTGATATGCCATCCAAGCATTAAAGAGTAATATTGGGGAGAGTTCCACATCAAACTCCTATCACTCTTCTGCTGTTCCCAAGCCAAGATGAAAAACTTGGGGTCACATATTTGAATATCAAAGCAATCTGACTTAACTACCCTCAGATAGGAGGGGGGAGTCCTGCACTTCTGAGAATCATCTTTTGGATAATGTTCTTCATTGGCTTATACTGCTCCAGGGGTCAGTGTGCCAGTTTTCCTATAAAATTAGCTTACAACCATCTGGGACAAATTTTTCCAAGCATGGCCCAACAATACCATCAGGGCTGAGGACCATCTCGCTGCATCCCTAACATGCTGTTTTGTTATTTGAGCTGAAGATATTTTAACCTGCCTGTCTTCATATATCTAATTTTATGTAGGAAGACACACTTCGTTATTCTATTGCATCTGCTTATTCTTGCCTTATGCTTAGGCCTGAACCACTTTTTAAATCTCTTCAATAAAGCCTGTTGCTTTTACCACATGTACCACTGAGTCCAAACCCAGTCTCAGTACAACTATCTGGAGGGGGTCCCTTTACCTCCTTTAGGTCCTGCACAATAGCAGTTAGTCGTTCGTTCTCTGCGTGAACATTGGTAACAACAGCTCTACTTTGTTTCAGCTCATTCTGCATTTCCAAGATCTTCCCCAGATAATAGGCTTCCTTTGATGCCGACTCCTGGAGGAGTGTCTCCTCCCGCGTCTCACCATCTTCAGCGACTTTGCGGTGAACTGAGAAGGACTGCCCAAATGCCTGCAAGAGTAAAATAAGGACTTATGAAACTACGACAATAAAAAAACCCTACTATGCTTAGGTATATGTTGAAACATTTGGAAGATAAAGAAACTGCTGATGAACAATGGTTAGGAATGAGGCAAAACTCAAATATTTTATCACTTCTCAGCCAGTGTGCCCCAAGCCACCAGCAGGTCTCTGGCATATAAGCCTACATTATCCTTTGTCATCTTTTCATAAATAAGAATGTTATGTCCAATTGAGTCCACCTTTTTGCTATTGTTATTTATATTATTCCCAGAAAAGGTGCAATATTATATGTAATATTGATCAAAACATGGGAAAATACATCTGGGGAACTTAATTACATAACCTTTCTGCTACCTTGGTGACTTTAAACGTATGGTTTATTTAGAACCTTGTGAATTCAACGTTGCAGGACTCTAAACATATTCAGTAAAATGTCAGTTTAGCTGCCTTACCCAAGGGTTGCAAAATCTAAACATCCATAGTCAGCAAGCTGCTAGATAGCATTTTGCAAGCTGCTAGATAGCATTTTTTAAAAAACCCACAATTTAAAATAAGAAAACAGTTAACCTCCGTGTGTCAAGAGAGATGGTCCCCTCTGCATCAATCAACCTGACAGTTTAAGCATCAGCATTTGGCCCTGTCGTAAATTTAAAGCCATAGCCTGTTTCCTGATATGCCATCCAAGCATTAAAGAGTAATATTGGGGAGAGTTCCACATCAAACTCCTATCACTCTTCTGCTGTTCCCAAGCCAAGATGAAAAACTTGGGGTCACATATTTGAATATCAAAGCAATCTGACTTAACTACCCTCAGAGAGGAGGGGGGAGTCCTGCACTTCTGAGAATCATCTTTTGGATAATGTTCTTCATTGGCTTATACTGCTCCAGGGGTCAGTGTGCCAGTTTTCCTATAAAATTAGCTTACAACCATCTGGGACAAATTTTTCCAAGCATGGCCCAACAATACCATCAGGGCTGAGGACCATCTCGCTGCATCCCTAACATGCTGTTTTGTTATTTGAGCTGAAGATATTTTAACCTGCCTGTCTTCATATATCTAATTTTATGTAGGAAGACACACTTCGTTATTCTATTGCATCTGCTTATTCTTGCCTTATGCTTAGGCCTGAACCACTTTTTAAATCTCTTCAATAAAGCCTGTTGCGTTTACCACATGTACCACATGTTGTACATGTTGTACAACATGTGGTACATGTTGTACCATTTTTAAATCTCTTCAATAAAGCCTGTTGCTTTTACCACATGTACCACTGAGTCCAAACCCAGTCTCAGTACAACTATCTGGAGGGGGTCCCCAGTCTGGAGACATGACCTTCTGGACTTCTGCTTTTTGGCCTAGTAGCTGTCTGGTGTAACCTGCGGTTAGCTGGTCTGACGGTATCTCACAAAGTACCCTTTTTAGATTGCTGATGCTTGGAATGTCTACTTTCGTTCTTACCAAGAACTGCTAGTTCCTCTATTTCACAAACAGGGCAAAAGCCTGCAAGCTTGCTTTTAAATGCTTGAAAATAAATTGATTATACAAACTGCAACCATTGGTAGGTTTTCTTGTTCAAAATCTTAATTCTTATTTCTCACATAAGGATGTTAAAGAAATATGTATGGGAACTGATAGATGCTTTTTGTATGTTAAATATAGAATGCACTGACTGGGCTGATATTGATCGCTGACTATGTTATTACCAACATACACGTTCTTACTAGTAGCTGGACTATACCGAGAGGCTGCTGCTGGGCAGAAGATCAACACAATCCTATCAGTGACTACAAATAAGTATAAAAGGAAAGAGCAAAATAGCAAAATGGGGTGGCTGAACACACAGCAGGGAAAAAATAAGAACTTCATACGTTCTCTTTTCTATCAAGTGAAGATTGCTGACCTTGTAACATTTATGAGTACAAATGTAAACCTACCAGAATGAGGAATGGCTTAAAACAACTTTAATATGAACAGCAGCTGCTAAAATAACCTGTACAGAAGTCTCTTACTCTTCTTCTAGAACTAAGGTCACATGATCTTAGGGCAAGTCCTCAAACTACCAGTTCCATAGCACACTCAGCTATAAAGGAATGTCTTCTATCACTAACAGTCCTCAAACTGAACTCTTTAATCTGACTAGAGTTCCAAATGTATACAGTTTCTGGAATCTGTATCATAGTTCTCTTCCCCATATTTACTCAGCCTCTTCTTGAATTCACTTCTAATTTCTCTTCCCCCATACAACATCTACAACCCCTTCCATTCATTATAATGTCCTGTGTAAGGCCTGGGGAAAGTGTCTGTACCTCCCTTGCTGTGAGAGTCAAAGACAAAGAAACTGAGTAGGCAGATATGGACAAGTGAAGAGTAGAGGTGAAATCCCTCACCTATCTTTATTCTGATGGGCATCATTCTAATTACAAATTTTAAAAAATCAACAGGTGAATACACAACTTTAGCTTCATAAACTTATTTATATGGTGTGCAGAATCTTCCAGAAATTAGCTGCAAGTTAGTTGTGCTAATGAGTTCCCCTAGCTCTTTTTCTACGAAATGACCCCTGGTCTGAAGCTATTGTCATAGAATAGTTTATTAGACTGGTAAATGCTCCTAGTTCAGTGATTCCAATAATAAATTGTATTTTTCTTGTGACATATCTTCTTTTAGTCATTCAGAAGTAACATGAGCTGTGCTTTTTTTTTTTTAGGGAAATGGTATGTACCATCTAATACTTGCATACTCTGCACTAACTTATACTGGTTTGAGGCTACCAAGAAAAAAAGGAGCCATATGGCCATCAAAATCCAAAATAGCACCATTGACTCCAGCATGGCTCAATATTGATATGTTGTCTCCATCAGCTTCCTAATAGCAAAAAACAACTAATAATCTTCTGTACAAGATGAAGTTAATGTATTATCTATACACAGAGTTATGGTTACAGAAATAGTTACAGAAAACAGAATAAATAGTTTCTATCTGTATAAAACATGCTCCTTCAGTCATATGATCATCAATGTCACACAGGATTTCAAAGTGTGGGAAGTGAAGGACGGAAGAGGAGCCTATGTCCAGTCAATGAGACCACACCAGATTCAGCAAGAGGAGAAGGTTTATTGACGTCAGGTTCAGCAAGCAAAGATTGCTCAAAATGGCTGAACCCCGAACTACGCAGTTTCAAGGCTTTTATACAGTAACAAGTTACACGTCGACAAGTTACACGTCACACAAGCAGAGCATAAGCAGTGGAAACTTTTCTTTACACAACTAGCTGACTCAACTAGGATGCCATTGGGCTCACTGTCCACAAACATCCAGAGGCACTTAAGGACTAGAAACCAAACCAAACCTCTTCCTTCACTTCCCAAATTAGGATGAACGTATTTCGTATTTAATAAATCCCAACTTATACACCTTCCTTTTGAACATCTGAAAAAGATAACTTTCACGACAAGAAGTATATTCAGCAGACAGTACCAATATGCTAGCAAGACAGCTACATCTATAACGAAAAGAGACGTGGCCCGAAATATTACTGTCAGGAATTACCCACCCCAACATCTAAAATTTCAATATATGCATTTGATCAAAAAAAGGAATTATCTTTGGAATTCAGAGGAAGATACAATGTCCATAGCTGAGTACCTCTTATACATCACTTAATGGACTTGACTCCTGTTGTGAAACGTATGTGAAACTAAGACAGAAGCTATCAGCTGTATTCAGATGACGAATTTTGTTATGTCCAAGAATGAGCATTAGAAGTTCTTTCATAGTTGCACATTCCCCCCTTTCCCTCCAGCCCACACATGCCACAATGAGATTGTTAAAAAGCAGGAAGCCTTCAATCTAGTCTGTTGCGATGTACAAATTAGATGTTTTAACACACTGCAGTTTCTTTCTTGCCTACAAACTACAATTATAAACTATGTTTTACATCTGGTTTAGGATTCTGAATTGCAGGCAAGAAACAACACAGTTTGTTAAAATGGCTGATTAACACATCATAACTAATTATATTACAAACTAGGAAGTCTTCCATCTTGGAGTGCAAAAAGGAATGTGGGAGCCTCAGGCTTGTCCTCATCATGAACACATCTTACAGAATCATAGAATCACAGAGTTGGAAGGGGCCATACAGGCCATCTAGTCCAACCCCCTGCTCAATGCAAGATCAACTATAGAGCATCCCTGACAAGTGTTTCTCCAGCTGCTGCTTAAAGACTGCCAGTGAGGGGGAGCTCACCACCTCCCTAGGCAGCTGATTTCCACTGTCGAAGAACTCTTATTGTAAAAAAGGTTTTCCAGCCAGTACCTTTTCCAGCCTTTAAACCCATTATTGCAAGTCCTTTCCTCTGCTTAGTTCAGTTTGCTTCTGATATCTGAATGCAGTCATATATCAACATGAAAAGAAAATTGTACAATTTAAACTGAAAGCTCTTCAGGTGAATCAGATGGTATTAAGCGCCTTAATACATACAGGCGTACTTGTTGACATTAGAAGTTTAACCAGAAGAGGGAGTTGTAAACTTCAACAGAAATCAAACAAGCGTATATATTTTTTTCCACTCTGTTTTTTGTTGACAACTGACAACTGACAGTTGATTGATAAGTTTTTTCATTCATGATTTATTTCCACTCTACAAGACCATCTGTGAATTGGTTTGTTTTGCCCATAAAGATGAAATATTTAACATAGGCCAATTTTTATTAGCATGCCAAAAAAAAGCAGTGCACACTTTTTCAATACCTCCACAAATCATGATGAACACATTACGTAAACACATTCCCAGTGGATCTTGACGTTGCTTGGTGGGAACCAGTAGAGAATCTCACAATACAAGAACTCATGAGTTCCCGAAAAAGGCCTGGCTTCAGTAATTTTTGGTAAGGTATTAACCGTTTCTCTCACTGCCTCACCCCAGAGCTAACACTATTCAACCTGGATCACTAATCCTATCAGTCTCCCCTCACCTCTTCATACCCA